GATAAAATAATGTATGTGCTAACTGTAAGTCGCTCTGGATAAGAGCGTCTGCTAAATGGCAAAAATTTAAATGTAAAGAGAATTTGAGAAATTTCTTTCCTTCTTAATGCGTTTGAGCCAATCAGTTGTGTTGTGACAAGGTAGGGGGGGTATACAGAAGATAGCCCTATTTGGTAAAAGACCATGTCCATATTATGGCAAGAACAGCTCAAATAAGCAAAGAGAAACGACAGTCCATCATTACTTTAAGACATGAAGGTCAGTCATTACGAAACATTTCAAGAACTTTGAAAGTTTCTTCAAGAGCAGTCGCAAAAACCATCAAGCTCTATGATGAAACTGGCTCTCATGATGACCGCCACAGGAATGGAAGACCCAGAGTTACCTCTGCTGCAGAGGATAAGTTCACTAGAGTTACCAACCTCAGAAATTGCAGCCCAAATAAATGCTTCACAGTTCAAGTAACAGACACATCTCAACATCAACTGTTCAGAGGAGACTGCGTGAATCAGGCCTTCATGGTAAAATTGCTGCAAAGAAAACACTACTAAAGGACACCAATAAGAAGAAGACTTGCTTGGGCCAAGAAACATGAACAATGGACATTCGACCGGTTGGAAATTTGTCCTTTGGTCTGGAGTCCAAATTGGAGACAACCGCCATGTCTTTGTGAGACGCAGTGTGGGTGAACGGATTATCTCTGCATGTGTATTTCCCACCGTAAAGCATGGAGGTGGTGTTATGGTGTGGGGGTGCTTTGCTGGTGACACTGTCTGTGATATATTTAGAATTCAAGGCACACTTAACCAGCATGGCTACCACAGCATTCTGCTGCGATACGCCATCCCATCTGGTTTAGGCTTAGTGGGACTATCATTTTGTTTTTCAACAGGACAATGACCCAACACACCTCCAGGCTGTGTAAGGGCTATTTGACCCAAAAAGGAGAGTGATGGAGTGCTGCATCAGATGACCTGGCCTCCACAATCCCCCGACCTCAACCAAATTGAGATGGTTTGGGATGAGTCTGACTGCAGAGTGAAGGAAAAGCAGCCAACAAGTGCTCAGCATATGTGGGAACTCCTTCAAGACTGTTGGAAAAGCATTCCATGTGAAGCTGGTTGAGAGCATGCCAAGAGTGTGCAAAGCTGTCATCAAGGCAAAGGGTGGCTACTTTGAAGAATCTAAAATCTAAAATCTATTTTGATTTGTTTAACACTTTTTTGATTACTACATGATTCCATATGTGTTATTTCATAGTTTTGATGTCTTCACTATTATTCTACAATGTAGAAAATAGTAAAAATAAAGAAAAACCCTTGCATGACCGGTAGTGTAGGTCTGGTGACTATACATTTTTGGCTTCATAAATACAGCATCACAATTAACACACAAGACGGTTTCATTTTTCAGAAATATATTTTAGAGTTTATGTCTGAGACAAAATGTCAAAAGCATATAGGTCCCAACAAAAGATATCATTTGTAACAATGGAAAGAAAACAAAAATAACTTTTTTATTTACATATGTAAACTGAGAATAGCTCTTTTTAACCACAGTGGTTTTAAATACAACTGGCTTAAGTGGATAAACGTCTGCAGAAAATGCCCTTCCCAATCAACCACATATAGTCAGTTTTTTAAAGGTCTGATGTTTTATCCATTCTCTACTTTGTGTGACTATCCCCAACACTCTAGAAACATTCTTAGCGAGAGAAAAGCAGTATAGATGGGTGTAATGCCGCGTTCATGTGCTATCGGAGTTATCGGAAAAAACTTGAGCGACCCTCCCAAGACGGAATTATAAGTGGGAATCTCTGAGAAAATGTTGTCGCCTGAGTTGTGATGTTTCATCACTGACCTTTCCAACCAAAAGATGACGACAAATCTGTTTTTGACAACTACGACCTCAATATGGAGAATGTAGCTAGTTTGACCATATATTCAATGTTAAGCAAACTAGCTAACTTTATTATTAGCAACCTTAGCTTGATAAGCTAGCTAAAATCGTATTGGTTGAAGAATTGTTTCAACTTCAAAAGCACTTGAACACAATCTTGTCGGACTTAATTGTCCCACTTCCCAGTTTCCCCATTTCCTATGAGCACGTGAAGTCAGCATAAATACACTCGGAGGTTAGCCTAGCTAACACATATTCCTCTTACTCTGAACACAGTCAAGTCTACTGTCCATTTGCTTTTTTAAGTGCTGGGTAATTTACCTACAAAAACTGAGCATTTAAAAAAAAATGTAAATCTAATGTGGAATTCATTTTGACAAGTTAAGTCCTTTGTATTCTTAGTACACCAAAGAAGAAGAGACATTCACGCTGGGTTTAGTCCTCCAGTTTTCTTCTTCTACTGTGCAAATACAGTGTTACACAGACGTACAGACAGACGGGCATGCAGACAGACAAACCATGCAGAGAATTAGAGGCCGTGAAAGAAAAAAAAAAAAAAAACATTAAATAATTGTTTTTTTTTAACGACCATACCAAACCCTGGGGCTCTTAAACAGTTAATAATAGGAATGGTGTATCAGAAAGCAAACAATGCAAAGCAAAAATAAATAGAAAGTTTACTAAATCCTCAATCAAAAGGAAACATGATACTACCAAAATGTGTGTAAGAACATTAAAATCAACCCAAAACTGCTCTCTAGCTTATTGCAAACTAAACTGAGTTCTTTACTAGGGATGAGAATACATTGATCTACACTGAGACCATGCCTACCAGCTAATGTCATGACTCTGGTTTCTTGACAACCCGGCTAATGTAGCTACAACAGGAAGAAGTGATGTCACAACATTTTCTGAAGTTGAGGTATGGTAATGTACAGTAACCATGGCAGCACAGCAGTAACCATGCTATCAATCAACGACAGCGTATGCATGTATTATCGTGTCAAAAGTAACATTGGTATCTCATTTTGGTTGGTCCCAATTAAGTAAAATGCGAAAGTTAAGCGTCTTTAAAATGCCCCATGCTTTTCTTGAGAGTCTAGCTAGCTACAGTGCAGCCAGGAAACGATACAGTACAAAAACAAATCAGTGTGTTCCCCTTTTTGTGTTCAGAGTGATGTGTGGAAAAGTAACCATTAACAAATACAGTGCTGCTGAGTGTAGGGCCTTCTCCAACCAGCCCAGCTTAAAACAGTGCAGTCATCAACCTCAACCCCCCCCCCACACAAGCTTTTTAAAGTTACTTACTGGGGTAATACCATCTTTGCCATAGCTATTCTCTTTCACAACGTCATAGCTCTCATGTAGGCTACGTATATAATATATTTCTAGGTTTTCCATATAGAACTCTTCTATAAACAGGATCATTATGTAAGTAAATAGACAATTGCTGGAATATGGTATAAAGTAGAAAGGCTGAACTCCATCCCAATGCATGATGAGGACACTAAGAAAGTGTAAAAATCCTCTTGAGCAAGTGGCACATCAACTGTACAGAGTAACAGAGAGAGAACTCAACGCAAAATGACAAATACGCAAATATAAAAAGTATGTTAAAAATTTGAGAATTTCATACATGCCAAAAATAGAAGTGTCACACATTTGAGATCATTGATTAAGAAAAAGTTGATGATGGTATAGTCAATCGACTAGCTTGATGTGGAAATGATAGTGTCAAATATGGCAAATTAACACTTGGCTTTACAATATGTTCAATTCAATATACATGACAAGCTGTTTATAGTAACTATTAACTAAGGTAGTTGCCACCTGGCAAACCATAAATTGGAATTCAATAATTATTTAACAAAAGGTTCAGATATCAAATGTTTGATTCCGTTACCTCTCGAACAGTGTACTTGGTATCAAAAGCCTTGTTTGAGAAAGCCAGAAGCGATACTGTGTATGCCTGCTGTTACTAGTGGTATGAAAGAGCTGGATGCAAACTCATGCTTTGGCTTTTTTTTTGCTTGACTACTTCTTTTTGGATAACCTTCTAACCTTGCAACCGACAGGTCTTTCTGGTGAGACATGCTTTTTTTCGTTAGCGATTCGTTATGTGATAAAGGGAAGCTACATAAGGCTAAATGCTAACCTTCAACAGTGCTTTACGAATCAACTGGAAGTTGAAAGTCTCAAATGTTTGCTGGCAACTACCTTTTTGAAGCCTTTTTACAGAAAAATATATAAATCGAAAAGTATAATAACTCTTAAAAGAGGCTGTGAGAGACAAACGTTGTCTACATCACAATCCTGGTAAACATGCTGAAAGATAATTTTTTACGCCATCCTGTCCTCTTTCAAACAGGAAAAAGTATTTCTCTCTCCCCCCTGGTCAGGAACATAATTTAAGGCAATCAATTTCTGACACAATCCTGAAATCCATCAGAGCTTCACAAAGGCACTCTCTCAATGGTGGACCCTCCATCACAGAACTACCAGCTGGACCAATAAGGCAATGATCCAATAGCCTCATCATCCAATAACGGCAAAGGCTGCTTGCTCAACGGCCAACCACAGTCAAGTCTACTGTGTCCTCAGCCAATGACAGCCCGACAATTCTCCTAGGGGCTTTTTTGGCCGCCATCTCTCATCAGTAAACCCACATCTTCAACTCCATCAGTACCAAGTCCTCCATTTAGGGGGACAAAAGCAGGAGAGAAAATAAATGTCCAAGGTGTGTCACAGCCGGACCTGTCCTGTACTCTGTCTCCATATTTGGCCACAGGGCAGATCTTTCCCTGCAGGAGTAAGACTCTTCCGCTACAACGCGCCATTTTCCACCTCCACTGAGTACCCACGCCCTGCCTCGGAGCTAGGGTGCCTTCTGGGGCTGCCTCAGTCAGACTGGCAGAAACAAACATATCTTTAGAGTCACGGTGAGCTGACCACGGTGAGCTGCCTGGCTGCAGCGCTTTGTCACTTCAGTTCTTCATATCGTATCCCCATTGACTCCCTATTCTGAGGCTGAGCCCACCCCTCTCCCTCATTGGCAGTGGAGCTGCCAATCAAGGTGATAGGCGTGGCGCGCGGGGAGGGGTCTAAATGAAAAGGGACAGTCGAGACTCTCCAGAAGGAAGTCTTCCGAGCTGCAGCAGAGGCCGACAGTCACGGTGCGACGCCCTTACGCTTCCCTCCCCTACAATGGCGCTTCCTCCTCCATGGGTTCCTCCTCTGACCTGCTGAAGGGGAACAAGAAGAGAGGAAGGTACGTCAGTAAAACAGGTGGATCTCCATACTGGAAGGTGGCAGAACTGGTTGGTAGTACCTATGATGACCTACCTCTGTTTGTTGGCAACGGAGAGAGAGGCCATGGCGCTGACGGTCTCAGCCTCCTCGGAGTCTCCTCTCTGAGCCTCCAGCACAGACAGACCCAGCTTGGGGGAGCCACGCTGCATGGAGCGCCAGTACTTACCTGGAGAGAAAGGGAGAGAGAGAGAGAGATGGAGAGGAGAGGGAGAGCGAGAGAGAAAGAGAGAGGGAGGATAGAGAGAGAACAATGTTAAAGGATTAGTAAGTTATTTCAGAAGCTAGCAGATTCATTACCTACCAACAACAGCTGCAAATCCCAATAAAACTACATCTCGTTTTGAAGTTCACTTTCCTTGCTTTGTCCAACAACACTATCATGAATCTAGCAAATACGTTTTGTGGGTCAGAGTGTAGTATTTATTTAGTTTCATTGCACAAACGTTTCTCACATTGGCTATAGCCGAGGCCCAGGAAGGGGCAGGCCTGCCCGGCCAAGTCCAGGGGGGTTGCCTAGCAACATGTGCCTCAGAAAAGAGATAACGTCTGCATAGCGCAACAAATTCCCATGATCCAATGCTTGGTTTGGCCTGAACAGCTAGCGCAATAGCTAAAATGGCTTTGAAAAAATACGATTTCAGCTAATAAGGAGAAGTATCTAACAAAATAATTAAATTATGGAATTCATTAATCATAAACCATTTACAGTACATCTAATGAAATGTGGGTACATTTGCAGACAAAAAAATCTAACTTACTCAACCTTTAAAACAGGAGTAAGCTAAATTGAGGGAGAATTTCCTGCCTCTTCAATCTCAGACAGGAAACTGTTCTTGGTACTTACTGTGTGTTTCTATAACCTTCTCTATGGAGCACACAGCATTCTGGTTGGGCCTCTGCTCCAGAAGCGCCTGAGGGAGAGGATCCAGCTGTGGACAAGACATACACACTGTCAACTATTCCACCTTCACCATGCATCCATTCTTTCTCCTTTTCAGTTCTTCACCAGACCACTATAAATGATCTAGTCTGATCATTACCCTTCCTAATTCCTGCTTCCTCCTTCCCTCCTGTCCTCACCTGGTTACCCAGCAGAGCGGAGACGCAGGCCTCGGAGGCGTCGCAGATGGCCATGAGGTCGTGACCTCCCTCCAATGCCAGCACCAAGCGACCCTCCGCCAGGGTCATCAGCTGACGCGTCAGGTACCCAAAACCTGCAGGGGAGGGTGTGTGTGCGAGTGTGTGTGAAGGGAGGTGGGGAGGGACAGAGAGGGATCATCAATATACCACAGCTGCAAAGAATACAGTACATGACATACACTAGTATGTGGACACCCACTTAAAGTAGTGTATCATCTTTTGTCTGTCATGTTGTGTGTCTGGACCTCAGGAAGACTAGCTGTTGTCATGGCGGCGTCAGCTAATGGGGATCCAAAATAAAGATCCAGATATCATTGCACCAGTGCTACTTTACACATATACGTACATTTGGAGGTGAGGGTGTAACCGCCTAGGGGAGGAGGGTGGCCCTCGACGGCGTCGAAGCCTGAGGACACCAGCACCACGTCAGGAGCAAACTCATTAGCTATGGGCATCACCACAGACCTAGGGAGAGGGAGAGAGAGAGAGAGAGAGAGAGAGGGAGAGAGGGAGAGGGAGAGGGAGAGAGAAAGAGAGAGTTTATCAACTTCAGTTCATGTGTGTTTTTTGGTATTTGGTATTTTATTAGGATCCCCATTAGCTGTTGTGAAAGCTCCTGGGGTCCACACAGAACATGAAACATGACACAATACAGAACATTAGACAACAGCTCAAGGACAGAACTACATACATTTTAAACTTGCACACGTAGCCTACATATCAATACATACACACAAACTATCTAGGTCAAATAGGTGAGAGGCGTTGTGCCGTGAGATGTTGCTTTATCAGTTTTTTGAAACCAGCTTTGCTGTTCATTTGAGCAATATGAAATGGAACGGAGTTCCATGCAATAATGGCTCTATATAATACCGTAAGCTTTCCTGAATTTGTTCAGGATTTGGGGACTGTGAAAAGACCCCTGGTGGCATGTCTGATGGGGTAAGTGTGTGTGGGCGGCAGGTAGCTTAGTGGTTAAGAGCGTAGTGCCAGTAACCGGAAGGTCGCTGGTTCTAATCCCCGAGCCGACTAGGTGAAAAATCTGTCGATGTGCCCTTGAGCAAGGCACTTAACCCTAATTGCTCCTGTAAGTCGCTCTGGATAAGAGCGTCTGCTAAATGACTAAAATGTAAATGTAAATGTGTCAGAGGCATGAGAAGGGTATGTTGTGTGTTACCTGAAGGCTGCCAGGTACTCTGCATCTCCCATAGGGGGCTCCAGCCCCCCGGTGAAGGCCATGTTAACATTAAAGCCTACTCCTTGACCACTGCCCACCTGACAGAGAAGGGATGGGAGTAATAGCCATGAGAACACACACACACACACACCATGTTTCCATGATATTTGTCGTCATTACCTCGTCGGGTGCTCCGCTGCCAGGGAAGAAGTTTCCGTCGTCGTAGCGATGGAGAGACAGGTACAGCACGTTGGGGTCGTCGTAGAACGCCTGCTGGGTCCCGTTGCCATGGTGAACATCCTGATGGACAGCACACATGGCCAATCAGATGACTATTGTCCCATTGTCCCATTTTGTCATCTTACATCCCATGGTAATTCTACAGCCATTTACAAAACCCACTTTCTCTTTAAAAGGCCAGGTGAAGGACCAGCATAAACTCACCCAGTCTACTATGAGGATCTTGCAGACGTTGAGTCTCTGTTGGAGCAGTCGGGCTGCGATGGCTACTGAGTTAAAGTAGCAGAACCCCATGGGAGTGCTCTCTTCTGCATGGTGTCCAGGGGGTCGAACTACAGCAAAGCCGTTCTGGGAACCAGACGCAACAACTACATTACCCACAACTCCATCCATGAGGGGGAGTGATTGAGTGCATCCTTTGTGAATAAGAGGAAAAAAGTGTAGAGCGACCTAACCTTAATGGAGGAGTAGAGGGATGAAAAGGAGAAGAGAAGGGTAGAGAGGACGCACCTTCAGTTCACCAGTGGCCACTTTGAACACCAGCTCCACCACAGAACCTACAGCCAGACGAACTGCAGTAGAGGAGTGGACCTCGTTCCAGATGGTGTCACTGTCCACCTGCAATCATCATCATCATCACAGTTAAAGGGATACTTCGGGATGTTGGCAGTCAAGCTCTTTATCTACTTCCCCAGAGTCAGACGAACTTGTGGATACCATTTTTATGTCTGTGTGCAGTTTGAAAGAAGTTGCTAACTAGCGTTAGCACAATGACTGGATGTCTGTGGTAACAGCTTGCATGTTACCATAAGCTAGCATGCTAGCTGTTACCATAGATGTCCAGTTATTGTGCTAAGGCCAGTTAGCACTAGCTGGTGAAACTACCTCTAACTTCCTTCACACTGGACACAGAGACATACCTATTGTATCCACGAGTTCATCGGACTCTGGGGAAATAGATAAATGGGTTCATTGACAACATCCCAAAATATCCCTTTAATGATTTGACCATAGAGGAGGAGGAGCAAGAGGGAAAGAAGAGTAGGGGTAAGAGAGGAGGAGGACGACGAGGAGGAGGAAGAGGAGGATGAAGAGGAAGAGGAATAAGAGGAAGAGGAGGATGAAGAGGAAGAGGAAGAAGAGGTAGAGGAAGAAGAAGAAGTTGGGAATAAGAGGAAGACTCACCCCCACTCCTCCACATGGTAATCTGACCAACATGGGCGTGACTGAACAGTCTAGTTTCTGTCGGAGGGGGTTGGTTCCATACAGCAGGACGTGGGCTTCAGAGTGGACTGTCTGGAGCTCCTCCAGAGTGGCCTTCCTACCACGGATACACTACACACACACACACACGAGACATGTAGCATTTCCATTCTATTAATTTCCTTTCTTTTCTCTATGTTTAAGTGAATCAAAAATGACAAAGTACATGGAAAGGTTAAGCAATGATGTCATTTTATGCATCAGTTGGTAACTCCTAGCAACATAAATGCATTCAATTCACCCTTGTTTGAAGACTATAAATAATGTAAAAAACCAACTACAACAGAGAATAGCAAAGAAGGATGGTTGAAGGAGAAGCCTTTAGAATGTACCTCACACTGTCCCCTCAGTCCTGTCTCCTGCAGTCTGGACCAGATGCTCTGGATGCGGCCGGCGTGCTCCGGATGGGTGTGTGTGTTCCCACACATACACTGGTGCTTCTGCATCAGAGAGTCATACACCAACCCTGCAGGACAAAACCAGGACATTAACACACAAACACACATTACCACTGACGCACAAACACACACACACACACACACACACACACACACACACACGTGGAAACAACAAACTGACAGAGCAAAAGAAGGAGGGATAAAGGAACGACAGACCAAGAGAAAGATATGAAAGAGAAGAGCACTACTGCTAACCAGTGGTGAAGCGAGGTTTGGTGGGAGGCTCAGGGGGCGGCACGGAGAGGTGGAAGGAGGAAGCGGAGGCCGGAGACGATTGGGCCCTGGAGAGGGGGCGGTGACCTGGGAAGTTGATTGACAGACCGGCTGCCTCCATGGAAGCCTGATAGTTTCTCAGCTGGTGGATTCTCTGCTGCTCCAACAACATGGCCTGCTGCTCAGAGAGGAAAGAGGAGGGGAGGGGAGAGGAGGGGGAGGGGAGGGGGGAAGAGGAGGGGAAAAGGGGAAGAGGAGGGGAAGGAGGGGAGGAGGGGGGGAAGAGGAGAAGAGGAGGGGAGGGGGGAAGAGGAGGGGAAGAGGAGAAGAGGAGGGGAGGTGGGAAGAGGAGGGGAGGGAGAAGAGGAGGGCAGGAGGGAGAAGAGGAGGGCAGGAGGGAGGAGGGGAGGGGGGAAGAGGTGGGGAGGAGAGAGAGAGAAAGAAATTGCATGAAAGCTTTCAACATGTCCATTGTGACATTGAAGGCATTACCTGCTCTTTGCAATGCGTTTACTACATTTGGCCACACGGTGGCAGTCAAGCTATGTGAGCTGAACCGAAACGAATGACATCTATCTGCAGGAGAGAGGGTGGATTTGAAAGATGCATGGTTTCCTCTCATTAAGGAAGGACTCTCTGTCAGTAGCATAGCATCCTGGGACAGGAAATAGCATATTATTGCCCAAGTGGATCATTCAATAAACACAATTACTGCTAAACGAGATAATCGTGTGTGTGTGTGTGTGTGTGTGTGTGCCATGAAGTCAATACGAATATGAAAGTGTCGTGTCAATTTTACTTCTGATTCCTCGTTTTGTATGCTGAGAATGAGCCTAAAATTTGCATCATCTAAGTCATGAAAACGCAGTCATTTAAGATATATATTAAAATGTATACTTGTTTGCGAGTGAATTTACTTAACATCTGGCGGTTTTCAACATATTTGTGGGCAAAGAAGAAGCCGAACAGTGACCACCGCTTCATGAGAACTATACACCAACTACAACTCCTAACAGGTGAAGTACACTGACTATACAAAACATTAAGAACGCCTGCTCTTTCTATGACAGAGAATGACCAGGTGAAAGGTGTGATCCGTTATTGATGTCACCTGTTAAATCCACTTCAAATCAGTGTAGATAAATGGGAGAAGACAGGTTAAACAAGGATTTTTACGCTTTGAGACAATTAGGACATGGATTGTGTATGTGTGCCATTCAGAGGGTGAATGGGCAAGACAAAATATTTAAGTGCCTTTGAACGGGGTATGGTAGTGGGGGTATGGTAGTAGGTGCCAGGCACACCGGTTTGAGTGTGTCAAGAACTGCAACACTGCTGGGTTTTTCAACGCTCAACAGTTTCCTGTGTGTATCAAGAATGGTCCACCACCCAAAGGACATCCAGCCAACTTGACACAACTGTGTGAAGCATTGGCGTCAACATGGGCCAGCATCCCTGTGGAACGCTTTCGACACCTTGTACAGTCCTTGCCCCGGGACATGACCCTGGAAGTATGACGTAGGATGACGTCACTAGCACATCGTATTGACCAGTGGTAGCTCGATCCCGCTCGCTCTCTCTCTCACTCACTACTCCCCTCCTACCTGTCTGAACAGTAGTTCCTGATGCATGTCCTCCTCCTGGTTCTCTTGGGGGTCTGGGGGCTCTTGTTTGATAGTGATCCCACACGGAAGGCCTCCGTCCTGGGGAGAGAGGGCCTGGTGCTCCCTTAGCTCTTCCTCGGTCTCCTCCGGGTGACTCTGGTGCTGCCGCCCCCCCGTGGGCTCACTGGGCTTGCCCATCATCTGAGGAGAGGGTATGGGTCAATCCATTGTCTATTCATTGATGATATGCAGTACAGTAGTAACGCAGTAGTTATTGCAGTTGATACAATAGTTGTAGTAAAGGAGTTCTATAGTGAAACATGTAGCTTTACTAAGACACGGTGGTCGACATTTTAACATTGAGGTGTGTGTGTCCTTAAGACTTTAAAAGTCAGTGAAAGCTGCTAGAAGCTGTCCACAAAGCAGCACACTGAGCGCCACATCTCCTATCCACACGCACTGTCCATGAATGGGAAACTAGATCACTTTGGAATCACGGCTGTGAGCGGGAATAGGGGTCAATAGAGACAATGATCAGGGTCACATTCTTCTGTTGTGGTACAAGGATTGGCCCCAATCCTCTCTGTCTCCAGTGACTCCAGTGTGTAGGTTCTCATACCCTGTGAATGGGTAACGGGAAACCTCTGAGAGCACTTGTTGAAAATGAAAAATGAAATGAAGCTTGTTAAAGTGAAAGAAAGGAAAGAGAGGGGGGATAGTGTGTGTGCCAGGGAAATGAATCAGTCATCCCACTCTGTACAGGGGAACATGCCTTGGCAGTGTTCCTGTGTGTATACAATGGGCCATAAATAATTATTTGTATTTTAAGCAGTCATCAGTGTCGGTCCATTAGTATGCCTATTTGGAAATGTCTAGTGTGCTACCTTGCTTTGACCCATATTAATATTGTGTACAATTATCTAAGTCATCCAACACAAGTGCACTACAAAATATCTGCACTGCAAAAAGTCTTCCAGATACATTACATTTACATTTTAGTCATTTAGCAGACGCTCTTATCCAGAGCGACTTACAGTTAGTGAATACATTTTTTTTTTTTTTATACTGGCCCCCCGTGGGAATCGAACCCACAACCCTGGCGTTGCAAACGCCATGCTCTATCAACTGAGCTACATCCCTGCCGGCCATTCCCTCCCCTACCCTGGACGACGCTGGGCCAATTGTGCGCCGCCCATGAGTCTCCCGGTCGCGGCCGGCTGCGACAGAGCCTGGATACGAACCAGGATCTCTAGTGGCACAGTTAGCACTGCGATGCAGTGCCTTAGACCACTGCGCCACTCAGATACTCAGCTGAAATTGAAACACAGCAATGTATTTGACTCCGGTCTAATTGTGTGTGTGTGGACGTGTTTAACAATACTTGTGGGGACCAGAAGTCCCCACAAGAATAGTAAACCAACAAAAATGTGACCAACTGGGGACATTTTCTTGGTCCCCACAAGGTCAAATGCTTTTTCTAGGGGGTTTAGGGTTAAAGTTAGAATTAGTGTTAGAATTAGGTTTAAAGTTAGGGTAAGGGTACTGGTTTGGTTTAGGGGTTAGGGAAAATAGGACTGAATTGTTAGGTTAGTTGTACAAGACTGTGTGTGTGTGTGCTATTGGCAGGCCCGTCAGCCCTCGGGCCTGTGGCAGGGTGCCAGAGGAACAGTATTGACGTCAGAACCCTCGCCAGCTACCTCATCCCCAGTCTTCTCTACAACAAGTGCTTCTTTGCCCCTCGGGGGAGCGAGCGGAGCAGAGAGAGATAGCGAACGAGAGCGAGCGAGATAGATAGATTGAGCAGAGCGAGAGCGAGAGGAGATGAGCAGCGAGACGCGAGATAGAGAGAGAAGAGCATAGTCATCTAGAGATAGCTCTCTCTCTCCATCCTCTAGCGATATCATCTCTCGCTCGATCTTCTCTCTGTCTCCTCTCTCTCTCTCTCTCTCGCGCTCTCTCTCTCTCAATGGGAAGTACTGAAAGTTCAAAATCATGAAATTGAGAGATTTTTCAGTAGATGCTCGATTAATGCAGAGCCACAAACATTTATCAAAACCTTTCTTTATAATGATTACCCTATTCATATTTTGTCCTCTTTCCTACTTGTGTGGCAGCACTCGGCAACCTCCCTTGACGTCACACGCATTACTAAGGGGAACGTTCCGTTTCATTGTAAACATAACCTGTTGCTAAGGACGTACTTCATCCTTTTTCAGTAGCTATGAGAGAAATATACCTGAATCACATGCAGTGGGCCCACTCCCTCTCTCCCCATTGACTACGGCTGCGCCCCAAAATCACTCCCTATATAGTGCACTGAAAGTAGTGCACTACATAGTGCATAGGGTGCCATTTTATGACTGAGTCCTCTCTGTAACAATAGAGTAGTACACTCTGTACAGACTACGCCAGCTAATACCCTGTGATCAAGTCATACTGATTGATTTTTGCCATCTGGCCCTTCAAAGCCCATCTGCCCTCCTCTGACAGATTAGTTTCATATATATATACACAGTATTAGATCGACTCTGGTCAGACAGGGTCAGAGATAAACACTAAGAAAAACTTAAAGGAACATTTGATTGAATGTTGAGAAACGTTGTAAATGAGTTACAAAACGGTGACCCTCTACTGTTTCTTTGTGGGGATGTCACCTAAGGGCATGAAAACTAATGGAGGAGAAGAAATAGAAGAGAATCCCTTGTTTCATCCACCCACCTCTCCCGAGAGACAGAGAGAGAGAGAGACAGAGCACACATCACATTACAGGCAGGACAAACCAAACAGCGCTCAGCTCAGCTACCTAGTTCCTGAATGACCATATCTGGAAGTGGGTTCCGCTTTGTTTCCATGGCGGCGTGCCCTTAGCAACTGTCACACACACGGACATTGCTTCCTGTCCCTAATGTACCTGTGGAGGAATATTAAACCATCTCAAACACACACACCCTCCAGCCCACATACCCCACCCTCTCTCTCTCCCTCTCCCTCCCCTCCCCACCCTCATCCCCTGTCCTCCTCTCCACCCTCATCCCCTGTCCTCCTCTCCACCCTCATCCCTGTCATTCTCTCACCCTCAATCCCCATGTCCCTCCGCTCCACCCTCATCCCCTGTCCTCCTCTCCACCCTCATCCCCTGTCCTCCTCTCCACCCTCATCCCCTGTCCTCCTCTCCACCCTCATCCCCTGTCCTCCTCTCCACCCTCATCCCCTGTCCTCCTCTCCACCCTCATCCCCTGTCCTCCTCTACCTTGTTGATGTGTAGCTGCTGCTGCTGGAACTGCTGTTTGTGTTTCTCCAGGAACTGTTGGTGTTGCTGTTGGACCACCAGCTGCTGCAGGGCCTGGGCCTGGGCGTTCTGCTGGGGCAGTGGGGCCGACTGGGTCCGACCCAGGGGACGGTGCTGCCCACGCAGCTTGTGGATGGAGGGAGACTGGAGGGCGTCCACACCTGGGTTGGGAATACACACACAGGAGGGTATGGTTATAGGAGTGCATACACATGCCTGAATCCACACAAGCACACTTGTCCCAGGACAAGAAATATCCGGAGTAGAACTGGCTCTGTTCATCACAGAACAGTGGAATGGAGGTTAATAGCAGCACAGTATTACAAGCCTGGGAGAAGTAGAACCTTCTCTAGCCTGCCAAAAAAAAAACATTCACTTCCAAGGCTGTGCGTGTCACCAGTCATTTACTCCACTGTCAGCTGAAAATAGCACTGGGAAATTGAGTCAATGGATGTTTTCCTTCAACGGACCGGTGGGCACAATTCTCTCGCTCTCTCGCTCATTGACCCTGATTAATAGAAGCTGATGAAAGGAAGTCTGTCAATAGAAGGGGGGGTGGGGGGGGGTATCTGTTAGGACAGCACACAGTGTACTGGGACACTGTGTGTGTGTGTATTCCGCCCAAGTACCATTCTACTGCTGTACCCACCTGCCAGTAGGGGCCCGTGTGCACCAGTCTTATCCAGCAGGACCAAGTGCTGCAGTAGTGGGCGGTGCCCCCCCACGCCCCCTCCGTCAGTCAGGTAGGTGGCTAGGTGGGCACCGCCCAGGAAGGGGGGGCTGAGGGAGAGGGCCGCATGCTGACCCCCGTCCTGCTGGGCTGAGGTCACCTGGAGAATAGAAGTACTTTATATAGAACTGTTGGTATACTAACCGGTACCCCCTGTATATAGCTCCATACTGTTATTTTATTTTACTGCTGCTCTTTAATTATTTGCTATTTTTATTTTTTACTTATCTATTTTTTACTTAACACTTTTATTTTCTTGAAACTGCATTGTTGGTTAAGGGCTTGTAAGTAAGCATTTCACTGTAAGGTCTACACCTGTTGTATTCGGCACGTGGCAAATAAAATTTGATTGAATGATTGATATGTTGAAACTGACATTGGTTTGATGTTTCTATAGTCTTTACTGGTTTCCCACCACTAGCTTGTGGAAGACAGTTACATTACAAGCCTGTTGTCATTGCTATTCTAAACTGATTTATCTTTGCAATATTGTGATTTGTGAATTCCTCTTTAAGCGGTGGTTGCCCCCAAAACACAGTGTCACATGAGATGGAGACACAACGAAAGAATGACAGAGAAAAGGAGAAAGAGGGGGAAAGAGAGAGAGTGCTAGATAAACAAATATCCTGTTCATACCAAGACAGAAAACCGCCAACTTTAGCATGCCGCAAATGTTTCTTTATCTGTGAAAGGTATTGCCGGTAAGAAAGCCTGTACTTATATTTCTGCCAACCAACCTAGTAATGACTGCGGTATTATTTTTCAAAGTCCCGCCACCCCCTCAGTATAAAACGTGGCCTTTCATTGTTACCGGCTTTGGCACACATTAAAACATTATATTGCTGTCCGACATCAACCTGGTCCTCGTCAATCACAAAGCTTCACAGAAATGATGTAATTCTGTCCTTGAGCTGTTCTTCTATTGTCACAGAAAAATCTTGTTGGACATTTATTATGTTGAGCATGTTTTGCTACGATTAGTCCTATTTCGATAACTGTCTGCTACTACTATTAAAAAAGCAGTTAGCGAGGACGTTTGCTAGCAAGCTATCAATGTGCATAATATCTAACAAAGCGGAGTAAGGGAAGGGAAAAAGTATGAGGTTCATCCAGGTCCAATTATGTATTTCTTTACACGATCGGAAAGAGAATATTCTAAGGTTTCTAAAGCGCAGAAAACAATGTGGCCGTGGGCTCTTTTAAAATATCACTTTGTTATATGACAGCGGTTCCACACGTTCACATGAGACTTAAGTTGTGTGGGAAAAATATTATTCAGATTTTATTAGATTATAGTCTTAACATAAAATACATATATGTGTGTTGTCCGTGATCACGGCAGGGGAATGGAAGTGTGTCGTCTGCTTAGTGAACAAAATCAACTATTGATTTCATTTGCATGGCACAGCCATGTAGCCTATAGGTTGTCCATACCAGTAACATAATTCAACTCAAAATAGCCTATTCTATTCTTTTGAGAATACATTTTATTAGTCTTATGTTTCTTAGGACCTGCCTAAACAAATGAATAATGGATTTCTTTGTGATGGTGTATATTCAATGGATTTATTAAAATACACACCCACCCACATCGGCACACCCCCTACTCCCACTCTCACTCGTCAATGGTGCCGGCATGCGCACGGGATATATAAAAGGCTTATGCCGGCGAGAATGTGGTAAAAATGGGACTGTTTGAAAGGGGGTCATATAAACATTACCCTGTTTTTACAGGCAACATACCATAAATCCTGTGTGAATCCAGAGAGTGACAGACACAGAGAAGGGAGAGAAGGAGAGAGAGAGAGAGGAGAAGAGAAGAGAGAAAAATAGATCAACAGAGAGTCTTACGTTGGAAGCAGAGGTGGCCGTGGCAGGCAGACCTAGGGTGATGTTGGGGAGGGAGGGGGAGGTGTACAGAGACAGCTGGCTGAGTTCACCACCACACAACCGCTGGGCCAGGGACACATCAATGCTGTTGGAGACTGCCACAGTGATGCCGTTCTCATTGGGGATGTTGCTGATGCTGTTGTTGTTAGGAGAGCTGGGGCCGGATCCAGGAGCGCTGTTACACGCTGAATCTGGATAATGTATCAATAGCATTACTCAGTCATGACTGTTACACACCAAGTCTACAGCACAACATGACCCTCATACAACCAGTCAGTTAGTCATCTCTTCCATGTTAAATCTACTACACAGCTCTGTTCTGTGTGAGGTCTGTACCTCTTGCCTGTTCCTCTCCAAAATGTTGAGTGTGTCCTACCTGCCATATCCAGTGAGCGTTTCTTGGCGGTTGTGATAGGGCTGTCTTTGCGCCTCAGTAGAGGGCTGCTCCGTCGCTCGCTCACCTTCTGCTTCAGACGAGAACGTAGCTTCAGGTTGGGCTCAGAGGCTACAAGACAGACAAACACAGAAAGAGAGCAAGAGAGAGACAGAGAGAGAGAGAGACAGAGAGCACGAGAGAGAGAGAGCACAGATATGGTTATCTGACTATGACAAACACAACCCAGGCTTGTAACTAAGACTCAAGAGAGGTCTATGGTTCTGATACAGCTCTTTCATACCTTATCCCTGCAACTTAAACCGCAGTAAACCACAGTTTTGTTGAGGCAAACAACATTTGTTTAGGTAAAACCTATCGATCACACAGGGTCCATTTTATCCAACCATCAACGACTAAGTTCCACAGACTGTGCTGCTGTACACCATCATGGTGGTGGATGAGGTACGTTTCATCCCCATTACAATGTACAGAGCGTTGAGGGTTGGGAAAAGCTGCGCTAGCCACATCAACAAGGAAATGAGAGAGTAGTGTGTATGGGGGAATGAACTGATTTCTGGGAGCGACATTGTCAATTACAGCGGGCTTTGTCAGTGTGCATTCAAATGGAGAGTACGGAGAAAGACAAAGACGGAGAGAGGGAACGCAATGTCAAGACTACCACGTTCTGCAATGATGCTAATGTTCTGTTTACACAGCACGGACAATCAGGGCCCTCCATAGGGACCCTGCTAACCAATAGAAGTCCAGTACTAATTATCCAGCCAGGGCGCTATTTCAGTCCTTCTGGAAAAACAAAGCGCACAAAGCAGGAGTGGAAGAACAAGAGCCCTCTATCTCCATTCCACCCGCTATCCTTGTTTTTCCTCTGTTTAACAAGCAACACAGACTAATGATGCAGGCGCTAGTTTCATCATTCAAAAGGTGTCCGCTGGACTGCGCTACTACGGGAGAAAGTCTGGGGGCGTCAAATGTAATCATGTAAGGCGCTATTGAACGGATGGCATGACACACGTTTGGACAAATTGAATGGTCCCCCATTTGAGATCAGACAAAAGAGGAACATGGATTCATTCATACAGAGCCCACCTTTAAACCTATTAACCTCTGACCCTCGTGGGGATTGGTCTATATGGATAGGGCCAAATTGAAAATGTTTCTAACAGAAGAAATATGAATTGCATGTGCATAACCATGGCAGCAATTGAAAGGGAACACTTTACTTTTCGCAGTGTTTTTCGGGGAAACAAAATCAAAAAATACTCTGGATACATTCAGTAACGCAATAGGACTATTCCTGGAAAATGTGGGGTAGTTGCAGCATAAAAGAACAGATGATCAGGGTTTGAACTGAGAGGTCTAACTGGTGTCTCCAAGTGTCCACACAGCTCTCCAAAGTGGGCACAGTTCCTAAGTAACTTCAATGCACTTTTATGACTCAAGGAAAGAGACTTCAACTATTAGGTGCTTCTTTGAGCTCTCCTAGCTGTATTGGTTTAAAACACAGCCCTGCATCCCCAGTTCCCCGCCATCACACAATTACTGTTGTTGACGCAATCCAAAAACGGTACATTACAAATCTCAATCTGGATCAGACGTGCATCATTTGAAAGCTTTTTCTATTGCCAACATAACTAGCTAAGTTATCAAATATGATCTTACTGTGTTAGGCTTTCACAAGGCTCTTCAGAGAAACAGATAGTCATTTTGGTGCGCAAAGAATGGTGTCATGAGCGTGTTCCACAGGTAACTTTCTTCACAATACCACAATCGGCTCATTCCTTTCAAAGCAGCCCAGGGTATGATGCCATGTCATCGTTGGAACTGTACATGACATACGTTTTATAATACGGAAATGTGAAGTGCACATTTGGGTGTGTGGTTTGTTTGTATCACATCAAAGCAGCAACTATAATCCTCAACGTCTCATCTTTCAGAACACAGAGTCCATTTTCATTTACAGCATTCCCCTCACTCAGACAACAAAAATGTGGATGAACTTGCAGCTTTTCTAATTGCTAGAGCTTATTAAACCCCCATGTTGGCTGAATGGCTGAATGGACAGAGACAGGGATGGGGACAGGGGTTAATGTACTTGTTAACAGTGAGGTCTGTGTCCCATTGATCCCATGGTTTCAGGCCAGGTCATAGCACGATATACAGTGGGGTGCGGAATTATTGGATCCCTTGATAAAGATGAGGAAAAAAGACTGCATCAACTAAACAACTAAAACACGGAGCTATTGTACGCTCCAAACAATTCAACAATTATAATATTTTATACTAATACAATTGCTCTGAGAAATAGATTTATAGACAAGTAATAACAACAAATCTCAAAAAGAAAGGGGTCCAAATTATTACCGGTTCCAATCCCCTTTAGCAAACTCCAGGCGGTGCTATGGTCACATGACACGAAAAGAGCGGTCTTTGGCCATGCCTTCGAAAGAACAATACATATGCAGAACATACCTCACCCCAACTGTATAATATGGTGGTGGATCTTTGATGTTATGGGGCTATTTTGCTTCCACTAGTCCTGGGGCCCTTGTTAAGGTCAACGGCATCATGAACTTTAACAAGTACCAGGACATTTGCGTAGACAACAAGCTTTTTGTTTGGAACACAGCCCTACATCCCCACCATCACACAATTACTGTTGTTGTTTAAGCAATCAAAAAACGGTCCATTATAAATTGCAATCTGGGTCAGATGGGCATCATTTGAAAGCTTTTTCTATTGCCAACATGACTAGCTAAGTTGTAAAATACAATCTTACTGTGTTTTTGTACTTCAGAGACAGATAGTAAATGTGATGCGCATAGAATGGAGTCATGAGCATGCTCCACGGCTAACTATCTTCACAATACCACAAACATCTGTTCAAAACAACCCAAGCTATGAAGCCATGTCATTGTTGGAACTGTACATCAAAAACTGCAATCATAAACATTGATACTGTAAATTACATTCATTCTATAATATGGAAATGTGAAGTGCACATTTCCGTGTGGTTTGCTTGTATGACATCAAAGCGGTATTTATTATAATCCTCAATGTCTCATCTTTTAGAACACATCGAGTCCCTTTTCATTTATAGCATTCCCCTCACTCAGACAACAAAACATTAGCAAAATAAGCTCAATTAGCGGGAGGGATGGGGGTATCTTGTTGTTGCCCCTGGCAACGTATGTCAGCTGAATCCCATAGAGCGCTATAAAGCAGAGACCCTGAGCTCTGATGTCATGTATAGCATTTTACTGTACAGCCACTGCATTCTAATTTAGGCGCTTATCAGTGACCAAATATGCTATTTTCATACCGTATAGGCGCAGGGGTATTCAACTCTTACCCTGCGAGGTCCCGGAGCCTGCTGGTTTTCTGTTCTATCTGACAATTAATTACACCCACCTGGTGTCTCAGGTCTAAATCAGTCCCTAATTAGAGGGGAACAATGAAAAAACGCAGTGGAACTGGCTTGGTGGTCCAGAGTTGAGTTTGAAGGGTATAGGGGCTGTGACTGTGAAGGGATACCTAGCTACCATACCGCTCCATGTTAGGGTCATGATGTGGGGTCCCGGCTCGCCTATCAACTAGCCTCTGTATGCTTCCATGTATTTCATGTCAAGGCTGGCCTAGATAGGCCGGATGAACTTACAGCCTTGCTAATGGCTAGAGATGTAAGGTATAAAACACCATGTTGGCTGAATGGACAGAGACAGGGGTTAATGTACTTGTTAACAGTGAGTGTCCCATTGATGGAAGTTGGAACCACATTGTGATATAAAGCCTGTCAGCCTGTCTACAAACCCCTATGAATGGGGAGGGGGAGATAGAGAGAGAACGCCAGACAGCGGGAGACTAAGTGTTATGTATGTCAAATCTTTGGGGGGAGGGGTGTGGCGTGATGCAGGGTCATATTCAAATCTGCGTCTAAATCACACACACACAAATTGCATGGCTAGCATGGACATTTGGATGGACTCAACAAAACAATATTTACAATGCAAAACAAAAAAAGAATCGCAACTACACTGATTCAAAATCGCATTATCGCTGCACGGAAAGAATGCTACCGCTCAGGAGGAAGGTGTGTGTGTGTGTGTGTAAGAGGCAAGAGAGCGTTGTTGGATCTTGTGACTGTTACAAGTAGCGTGAGACGCCAGCCCCCAGATTTATGCAGAAGCAATGAAATAACCAGCTCTTCTAACGGTGCCCAACCTAGCATTAACATAAGTAAACCTCACAAAACGGCAAATATCTCCCTGCATCGCTTCACAAACCTCCATGTCATTGAGAAAGGCATGTTCTGTAGAGAGTTGGTTCAGCTTGAGGTACACGAGCTACAGTAAATGGTTTTGAATCCAAAGTCTCTAATGGCGATATTGCTAGCATGTAGCTAACACAGCATGTGGGTCTCAATGATCTTAAGAGGCTCCTTGTCTCATTTTCCTTCATGCCCATCACTGTTAAAGAACTGCAGGTAAAAGCAAATTCCCTAAACTCTCCTCCCTCCCTCCTCCCTCCCTCCCTCCCTCCCTCCCTCTTTCTTTCCCTTCTCCTCTCCTCTACTCCCTCTCCCTTCTTTCTCTCTCATCTCTCCTATTCCCCCAACCTCTTCTCCAACCGTCTCTTTTCCAAAACGTCTCTCCTCTAGTGGAATGTGGCCAGTGTCAACTGTGGTCTATCTGCAGCCTTGAGGCTTTTCTCCTCTTCCACCATTCCTTTCCCCACACTCCCCCTGTTTTATTCCTCTCCTCCCCGTCTCCTCTCGTCTCTCCCAGTCTTGGTGGAATGTGGTCTCAGTGGCCAGTGTCAACTGTGGTGCATCTACAGCTTGAGTCAGCCTTGGGGCTAGAGTCAACATGGCCGTGCTCTGTTCATACAGGCCCTGCCCGCTAAGTGAATAATTATACTGGAAGACCACCGCTTCACAGCCCGGCACGGCCCGGCCACACCATTTTAGTTTACACTTAGTCTACTGTCAGTGGTGTACACCTCTCTAAACTACAGAAAGGGGATTTTTTGTTCACTCTGCGACGGGGGCTCAGGGTACTCATTTTTCATGATGTATGATTTAGAAATGACAACCTTGGCAGGGTGATAAGGGGTCCGTCACATATTACAGTACCTTTCAAATATCCCCCTGTAGGTACAGTAGGCCATGCCAGCATAGCAATGCATGTTTGGCACGTTTTAGGTGGTAATATTGTCAATATTAATATCAGCAGTTAACTCAAATAATGTATAGCTTCTCAGTGCTGCTTTGCTGAAGTGAACTCCATAAACCCCTCCCCTCACAGCTTTACAGTACCTCTCAGAGCCCTGGGGATTCCATCGAGGGGGCAGCAGAGCCCCTGACAGCCTAATTTGGGTTTGATTAATGGTGAGAGGCTCTAATTCTATCTAAATAAGGGGAGGTGTAAGCATGCAGAGAGTCTACTGGACAGTCCTCTAGCAGAGCAAGGTGTGTGTGTGTGTGTTTAGTACCTGTCTTGCGGAGGGGAAAGTCGTCTCTAGCGTTGTAGATGCCCAGGACAGGGTGGTTGTAGGCACCCATACCAGTCTGAGGAGGAGAGCTCTGGTCCAGGGAAGTGTGCTGAGTTTTCCTGCAGCAACACACACACACACACACGCAAGAGCACACACACCGTCAGATCCTTCATCACACAACACTGTGGTGGGGTGTGTCTCAATAGTCTAAAGCCACGACCTCACTCCTCACACAGGATTACAGCATAGGGTGTGTCTCAATAGTCTAAAGCCACGACCTCACTCCTCATACAGGATTACAGGATAGGGTGTGTCTCAATAGTCTAAAGCCATGACCTCACTCGTCATACAGGATTACAGGATAGGGTGTGTCTCAATAGCCTAAAGCCACGACCTCACTCCTCATACAGGATTATAGGATGGGGTGTGTCTCAATATTCTAAAGCTGCGCCTCAGTAGTGGGTAGGGCAGGCTGAAGTACAGCCTGAGGAGATTGGTTTCCAGTCACCCTGCGGTGGCGGTGGAAGATGGGCAGAGCAGAGCTGTCTGTCCTGTGAGGTTAGCTACTCTGCTACAGAGCAGGACTGTTCTCAGGCAGTAAGGTAAACTGTGCTGGCACAGGCCCAAACCCATGTTCTGGTCTAGTGAACACACTCTGTGGTGTGTATACCCCCCCCTCTCTACCTCTTTTCTGGTCTGAAGGACTGTTAGCTTTAAAGTGCTGAGTGACTCTTTACATGGAGCGAGGGAGGGTGAGAGGGGGGAGAGAGAGAGGAGAAGGAGAGAGCGAGAGAGAGACCGTGAGGAGAGAGACAGTCCTGATAATACTGACTCAATACTCCACTGGGTCAGTTAGCGTTAAAGTGCTGAGTGACTCTTTACATAGAGCGAGGGAGGGAGAGGGGAGAGAGAGAGAGAGAGGGGGGGAGAGAGAGAGGAGAGAGAGAGAGAGAAAGGACAGACAGTTCTGATAATACTGACTCAATACTCCACTGGGTCATCATGGTAGTAATTCTTACCATGACCTACTTTGGGAAAAGTGGTTTACTGTATGTGTGAGGTGTGTGCAGGATGATTTTACTCAGACAGGGAAACTCAGTCAATTGGAAACAGTGATCACACAGTTTCTACTAAGGACTACTATAAACATGAACACACACACAGCACCTGATACTGAGCACACAGACCACAGCTGGACGTGGGTTCCACGGCTCGATAATAAACACTCAAGGCTGAGGAGGGTGAGAGAGCTCCTCTCAACAGGACCACATAGTCTGCTGTGTCCTCCATGTGTGTGATCTCCTCCCCAGACCAAGGGACTGCTCACACACACCCACTCCCCACACAGCTGACGGGACAGGAGTGAGTGTGTGTGTGTGTGTACTCACCCGTACCAGTAGCGGGGGTCGTTGGGCAACCCCCCGTGGTTGAGACTCCTCTGGGCCAGAGCCTTCTTCTTGTTCAGCACAAACTCCTGCAGTCGCATCTTTACCTCCGTACTGGCCACCGCACCTGAGAGGGCGAGGGTACATGGTACCAGAGTAAGAAAACACTAGAGTCTCCGCCACTGCCGATGGGACAGAACACTTCCACCCAATTCCTAGCCTTAAGGCACTTCACATAGATCAAGGAGGAAAGGTCTTCAGCAATATGATAGCAGAGTGAGGAAGTGTTTAAATGGCATTGCTGAAGGTAGGTGTGAGCTCTGACGGTATTTCAGGCAAAGAGTTTACTAGGAGCTATATCTATCAAAGACTCCCACTGATATGATGGGATATTCAAACTGTCACATTTCCAATTCCCAAAGGTGTACAATACAGTGTCCTCCAGAATTATTGGGAAAGTGAAGCATTTTTTCTTATTTTGGCTGTAAACTTCAAAAGTTTGGATTTGAAATCAAACAATGACTATGAGGTTAAAGTGCAGACTGTCAGCTTTAATTTGAGGGTATTTTCATCCATATCGGGTGAACCGTTGTGATTATCGTGAGAGAGAGACAGAGAGAGAGAGACACAGAGAGAATGAGAGACAGAGAGCGAGAGACAGAGAGCGACACAGAGAGACAGAGAGAGACAGAGAGAGAGACCGAGAGAGAGACCGAGAGAGAGACCGAGAGAGAGACCGAGAGAGAGACCGAGACAGAGAGACAGAGAGACAGCGAGAGACACAGAGAGACAGAGAGAGACAGAGAGAGAGACCGAGAGAGAGAGAGAGCAGGAGACCGCAGCTCTAGACTAATGAGGGTTGTATCAGACCAAACTCCTCCAGGGCAGCTGCCGTTTCCATCCATCCTGACTGGTGATCCTGTGTGTGTGTTTACCCCATCCATTCCACTAGATGATTAAAGAGCCAGCGGCCTTGTGGTGGGGAGGCCCACCCATTACCTGTAGCGTGCTGCCTGTCTCCCTCAACACCTCTCCACTGACAGAGAGCAGGCGACACGGCAACACCAGACAAGCACTTACACTCCAGAATAGATGACCGGAATGGAGGTTGGTTAGGTGTGAGAGAGATATACAGTGCCCTCTGTAATTATTGGGACCTTGAAGTATTTTTTCTTCTTTTGGCTGAATACTTCAAAAGTTTGGATTTGAAATCAGACAATGACTATGGAGGTTAAAGTGCAGACTGCCAACTTTAATTTGAGGGTATTTTCATCCATATCGGGTGAACCGTTCAGAAAATACAGCACTTTTTGTACACAGTCGCCCCATTTTAGTTATACTAGTTCTAATATTATAATGTAGTGTTATCGCTGCTTACTCTCCTGTCCTCTCTCCTTGTTCTTGAGCAGCAGTAGTTTCTGTTCTCTCTGTTGTTTCTCCAGCTCTTGCTCCAGACGGTGGTTCTCCATCTTCCTCTGGTGCTCCAACAGCTCCTGCTGATGTTTCAGGGCCAGGAGCTCCTGCTGGTGCTGCATGGGGGGGAACACAATGTTAATACAACATCCTGGGCCAAGAGCTCCTGCTGGTGCTGGGGGATAACACAACATAATGTTACTACAACGTCCTGCTGATGCTTCAGGGCCAGGAGTTAATGTTGGTGCTGTGGGGATAACACAACATTAAGTTACAGCAACGGTGTTATAATGTTAATACAACGTTGGTACAACATCCTGCTGTTGGTTCAGGGGCCAGGAGCCAATAGTTATTTCGATTCCTCTTTCTCTCCTTGCCCTGCAGGTCTTGCCTCACGCAGCTATTACCCCATTCCCCTCCGGACACGTTCACCCAAGACCCAAGTGAACATGCTAGCTTGGCCACCTCACGTTATCACAACCCATCCATTCAGCCCAAGCCCAAGCCCAAGCACCGTCCTAGGTATTAATCCATGCAAGTGTTCCCGGCATGTTTACAGGAACCAGACCAGTCCAGTCAATCCGTGAATAACCTGTCCTCTCTGTACGTACCATGGACCCTCTAAACTGCTGTTTCTATCCACTGATCCATTAGATCGACACACACACACACACATCCAGCCAACCCCAGCCTCTCTCCTTAGTAGAGCGCCCAACTCCAATATTTGATTAATTTGACTGGACGTAATTTGGCCTGTATGTTTGTTATTGCCTTGGATGGTTTTGTGTGCTTTAAATAACCGCCTGCTAGCGAGGACATGCACCCGTGTTTACCGTCAAGGAAAAGTGACTGGAATAAGAGTCGTGCTGATGGATAGATTCATATGGGAGGTGAGGAGGTGCGTGAGAGAAGGGCAGCAGGCAGGCACGGTATGGTGTTGGCTAGGTTCCAAACTGGGGAAACTTTCCCCCTTTCAATAGACAAGGGCAGATGGAAGGGAGTGTTTTAAGTTTGGAATGCAGCCTTTGGTGCATTTATGGGGAGACACCTTAACCTAAAGAGTTACATAGAGGTATACAGGGAGAACAAGTATAATCAATTTCTTTCTCTTCCAATACACCTTTCTTTCCCACTCTTTGACATGTCTTGGTGATTGGTGACAGGCAGAGATGTGTGTGTGCTGCAGTTCTCTCTCTCTGTGTGTGTGTGTGTGTGTGTGTGTGTGTGTGTGTGTGTACAGGCTCTGAATGGGGGTGATTGAGCCTTGGTCTCCCTGCCTGGGCTTTGCGTCACTCTCTGCTACCTGAGTGGTCTTCCAGCCCCACCGCAGGCCAAAGGAGCCCTTGTGCTGTTAGCACTGTACTGGGACCAGCCCTCAGCCCTTCAATCTACAGACTCTAGGTCACTTACAGCCCCAAACACTGACCCAAGAGCAGGGCTAATATCATAGGGCTGAAAGGCTTCTGCTGCACTGAGAGAGATCTAGTTTAGACATGTATGAAAGGGAAATAACCGTCTTTCTTGACATGCTTCTGGAGCTGAGCCTTACAATCCCCCGCCTCCCTCCCCCCTCCCCCTCTCCACCTTAACATGTTCCTGTAGCTGGGCTTCATGTTGGCGGTTGAGCTGCTCATGTTGCCTCTGGAACTCAGCGATAAGGTGCTGTCTCTGGATCTGTTGTTTCTGTTTCAGGGACAGGAGTTCCTGCTGCAGCTGCTGCTCTCTACCCTGGGCTGCAGACGCCTGGGCTGCAGACGGAGACATGGACAGCTGCTGCTGCTGGTGATGCTGCTGCTGGTGTTGGTGCTGGTCGATGCGTAGGTCCATGGGGATGGCAGTCGGGGGCAGACGTAGGGGCAGTGCAGAGTTAATGTCCACTAGAGAGAGAGGAAGGTGGGGGAGACAGACAAAGAGAACGAGATGAGAGAGAGAGAACAAGAGAGAGAGAACGAGAGAGTTAGTCCATGCATATTGAATAATGAAAAGACTAAAGGACCCAAGTAGATAATAAATAAAATAAAAACAGCCATCACATTCTGTGCACACACACACACACACACACACACTCTGCATCCTTATCAGCACACAGAGAGCCCCTTCACAGTACTGTCCATCTGGCCTTGATAAGTCAAACATGAAGTCTAGCACTCCTCTCACAAAGACTGCATTGAACCGTGGCATGGCGGTGGAGAGACCTCGGCCTGGCCAACCACCCCAGAACTCACTGCTACAGGAAGGCCTCCAATCGCACTGCTTCCTACCCATTAAATCTGAATAAATAGTCGCGATTGGCCGATTATTTATCTACAAGTTTCCCAACAGCATGCCAGACAGCCAGATATGTTTGCTTGGAACTTTGTCTTAATCTCGGTGGCTAACACCCACACTAGGTGCAGCACACACATATGTGAGTACACACACACACACACAGAGTGTTATCCACAGTCAAATGAACACTAGCGCTGAGCCAGTTGGTACCTGACACTATTTTCTTCCACTACAAAACCTGTGAGGGCATTTTTTTATGTGTGGGTTCCAGGATGGTTTCTTAAACAAGGCATTGCCCCCGTCTTTCAAAAGCAGCAAAGCAGGGAACACACAAACACAACACACACTAAAGGCAGGCACAGTCACTGGGTTTATCAGACCAATGAGTATGGTTACATGCACACAATACAATTATTGTGAATAGTCAGATCACGTTTACATGCTTTGCAAGAAGAACGATTTCCATAATAATCCTGTTTCCATGGACACATCTGAAATCAGGCTACCTGATGGGACTTTTTGGGGAAGCCTATTTGAGTTGGGACACATACAGTTCAGATGCATACTTTCAGTTTTTCCCAAACTCACTTCACTCGCGCATAAGAGGGATGCTTGTGCTGAGGTGCTAGCACATACGCAGATCAAATACAAACACTGGAACTCCAATTAAGGTGTTTACATGTCCTAATAATTTGAAAGATTCCTCAGAAAACCAGATGTTTTAATCGCCGGATGCTTACTTCGATTTTGACCTAACGCCCATTAAGATAAGCAGAGTAAGGCGTTTACATGACTAATGCCATACTCAGCGTTCTGCCATAATCAGTTTAATATTGAATTATAAGTGTTCATATAAACGTACTTAGTGACGCTGTGCAACCCAATATGTATATTTCTCTCTCTCTCTCTCCCCCCCTTACCTAATTCTTCACTCTCCTCCCTAAGGACCCTGCCCCTCCCACACGCAGTCAAACACAGCATTCCAAGACCAACGACTGGCGCTTCTGTCCCGTGCACACACACACACAGACAGAGACACACACAAACACACTCATTCGATACATACACACACATGACCATAATGTCCTAGCGCTGAAACGCATGTTGCAGCCACTGAATGGTAATGCTGAGCTACTGTCAGTCAGTGATCATCTCATTGATTATACCACTCAGTGTACACAACTACCACCAACCAGCAGAGAGAGAGAACGTGACACAGAGAATAATAATTGAATAGCGTGAGAGAGAGAGAGAGAGAGAGAGAGAGAGAGAGAGAGAGAGAGAGAGAGAGAGAAACTGCATTCAGAGAACCAGTCTGTAATAGAACACCTATAATGCACATACCCATCAGTACTCTGGTGCTCATGGCATTGCGATAAACACTCTCCACTCTTCTCTTTCCCCCCTCCTTTCGTTTCCTCCTCTTTAGCTCGTCTCTGCTGTGTGTATCTATTTAGCTATAGTGGAGGTAGACTTTTTATTTTTCTGTCAGTCTCTGTCCGCCTCTCCTTTCCCCTACGCTTTCTTCTCTTCTGCTTTCTCAACCCTCCTGCTCCCTTGCTAGCTACCTCTGTGTCCCTCCCCTCTCTTTACCCGTCTGTGTCCCTCCCCTCTCTTTACCCGTCTGTGTCCCAACCCTCTCCCGCTTCCCTCTTTTTACCCGTCCCTGTGTCCCTCCCCTCTCTGCCCTCCTCCCTTTCTCCTCTCTCTGTGTGCTGGTGACATCACAGGGCAGTTGTAGGCATGCTGTCTGTTTATTCTGCTGCTCCTCCATTTCCTGGAACCGACGGCAGACACACAGGAGATAGATAGCAGGGTGGACGGAGGGAAAAAACGACTCTCTGTGTTTTCCTCTCTGTTGACACTGCATCCCCCCTCTACACTCTGACTACAGAGAACTAGGTCCCTCTAGAAATGTATCCACAGTGTTGGACACTGCATCCCCCCTCTACCCTCTGACTACAGAGAACTGGGTCCCTCTAGAAATGGATCCACAGTGTTGGACACTGCATCCCCCCTCTACCCTCTGACTACAGAGAACTGGGTCCCTCTAGAAACGGATCCACAGTGTTGGACACTGCATCCCCCCTCTACCCTCTGACTACAGAGAACTGGGTCCCTCTAGAAATGGATCCACAGTGTTGGACACTGCATCCCCCCTCTACCCTCTGACTACAGAGAACTGGGTCCCTCTAGAAATGGATCCACAGTGTTGGACATTGCAGTCACACTAATCTTTATTCTCCAGATCACGGTTCTGTGGAGTATATGTCTATAGCCTCAAGTGAACTAATGAAGGCTATAAGGTCTCTTTATGATTGCTAGGAGACTCCCCGTCAACACACACCTCCTTTGTGTCATTTGCTCTGACGTTAGCATCGCTAGCGGGCGGAAGCGTAAGGGGAAACTTTACAGTTGTGTTCTACATTACAGAGCATTGATTTATGGGACAGTGGGAGGACGTGGGGGGGGGAAAGGCCTACAGTAGAATGGTTTGGTCTAGATGGGCCTCTCTCCGTAGGCTGCACACAACTATAAGCATGCAAGCTGCTAAAGTCACCACTCTCCAATTGTTTTAGACCACAGAGCACAAGTTCTGCACAAGCTAGGATTCCTTTTCGGCAACAACCTGAGTATGTGACGTCGCTCACAGGAGCCAATTATTTTGGCAAGATAAACGTTGATATCTGCCCATCTCCACCGACTCGCGGTGACGTCAAAGCTTGCATCAAGTTTACGGAGATGGGGCAGATAACCACGCCTGCATCCCACTTTCTCCTCACCAAAACAAGGGCCAACGTGCACTCTGGCACAGACGTGCCCTGGGGCAGACACACTTGCCTTACTGTAAAGAAAGCCTTCCAAAAGTAGCTCTTACACAACATTCGCTACCTGCATCAAAAGACGGCTGGCAGGAAAATAACAGGCTTTTTTCCTTCTTCATCTAAACTGCTTTGAAAGCCTCTCAACCTTGTCTTGTGTAAATCCTACCGTCTCACCCACGAATTCCACTCAAGATAATAATAAGAGGAACTATTTCTGAAGCGAATACATTTTGGTAACACCCTTTATGAGCTACCTATTTATAATGCATTATATGAATTAATTTATTGTGCATTCTATCAATGCATTATAAGACCGTACAATGTATTATAAGACCGTACAATGTATTATAAAACCTGTAATTAACATTCATAACAGCTCACGGCTCCTTGTATAATAAACATATGCAACAGTACTTCAAATGAATAAAGCGGGAGAGAGAGAAATCAGAGAAATACATGGAGAGAGATGTAGAGAGAGATAGCTGAGACCTTTCACAGTTTCTTCCCTGTACTCTCATGCCCTTTTCAGCTTCCATGGGGGAAAGCTCCCCACCACGTGAGTCATAGATTATTCAGCAGTGATTTGGCTTATTCATTACACCAAACAGACTCCCTCCAACACTCCAAATAAACAACCACTACTCCTCTTTCTCTTGCTCCCTCTCTCATTTCTACTTCCTCGCTCTGTCCCTCTCTCTTTCGCCCACTCTCTCCGTTTCTCTTTCCACCCATCTCCATCACACTTTCTATCCATCTATTTATGTCTACCTCTCCGTTTCTTTCCCTCGTCCTCATCCTTCTCTTCTTTCCTCCGATAAACAATGTGTTTACCACCCCTGGGGGGGGCTCCCTGCTCCCTCCCTCCGCCGGCTCCCATGACAGAATACAGATAGATCTATTTATACCAGACAGTACAGCCGCTCGCTCTGCAGCGCAGCTCCGATTTAAAGCCTGTTGTCTGAGGATGTCCCTCAGTCTGATTGTCAGGCTCTACGCTCCGCTCATTACGTCTAATTGGTGTCGAGCTCAACCCAGGCCGAGCCCTGCTATTCGCCGTTCAGATTGGGCCGGGGAGTTATTATTTACGATGTTTAGAGATGGGAACGGTGAGAAGATTGTCACAGGGCCTGGCGGGGGGGCGAAACAAGGAGAGGGAGACGGCATGACAGAAACAATGTATCTTAATGGGATGCAGCTTGCTGCGATGGGAGACTGAGTGGTTTGTACGGGGACTGATAGGCAAAAGGTTGGATGGGTCTGCTTTCACCTTTCAGGTGGTTCAAAATCAGTGGTTATGAAGGAAACCAGAGATGTTGCAGGACAGTGACAATAAGTGCAGGTTAATGTACATCAGGCTTTCATATTAATACCTAGAGGGACAGAGGACGAGAGCCAACATGTCCAAGCCAACACCCCATAGAAAAGCATGAGGAAATCGATCAGAGATCAGTCACTCAATTGGCCAGTCTGTCAGTCAGTGTGTGGCCACCCTCTGGCAGCTCATCTTACAGACAGAGACAAAAGAGTTCCTCTAGTGACACACACACACACACACACACACACACACACACACACACAGACAGAGACACAGACAGAGACAGAGACAGAGAGAGGGTGTCTGTGTGCAGCGAGCCCGACTCATCCCAACATGCTCCAGCCTGTCCCGGGCCTCCGGCTGACGTCAGCGCTCCAGTCTGCAGCGCAGCGGACGGGGGAGGGGAGGGACGGGGTAGATGTGGGACGTGAGGGACAGAGGGGTGAGATGTGAGGATATGAGGGTGCCCATACATACGTGCACAAGTACATCTCCTGCTACTTAACCCAGACTAATCTACGGACGACGGCGCACGTCACTGTCATACAGGAGAGAGGCTGCTCTGGCCTCCATGTCTGTGGGAGAAGACAGGTTCAAGCAGAGGTGGATCTCCAAAAGAGCACATTGTGACCCGTATAACAGTCATCTTTGTCAAGGCTGGGGGAGCAGCATTTCCCCTAGCTCTATTCATGCTTGGGATCGCGCCAAAGCAACGATAACTGAGCCCCTGTGTAAGGGTAAGTTAGGACTCCCATTCTGAGTTGGGTCGTCAGGTATTAACATGGTTCAGTATCAATCTCAACAGAGATGAAAACCGACACCAGACAGACAGGCAAAACAGCTCTACCACTGTGGTCAAACCTAATTTCCTTCCTCAAATTACAAATTGGCCCTTTAACCGAGAGGTGTTTTCTTTGCCATGCTGGTGCATCACGACTCGAGAGCGGAAGGTTTATCAACCACATGGATTTACATCTGAGCGAGGGGAGGACGGAGGGCGACGTGTCGTGTGTCATGGGACACCGCAGACGTTTTTCTACACGCCAACGCAGCATCCTGGGGTCATGGCATCAGATGACGGCTGGGTCACACTGGATATTACACACAGGCAGATGCCTGGAACTGGACACCAGCGGCTGGATGTGTCAAGCGTCTCAGAGTAGGAACTGATCTAGGATCCGTTTTGCCTTTTAAATAATTATGAATGGAGGGACAAACGTACAGGGGATCTGACCAAAGAACACCACTCCTACCCTAGATCTAATGAATCTGACTTCATCCGATTATAGAAGGTGTATCAACAGCCTTGGAGAGATTGACATCAACATATACTGTGCTTCAATGAGTCGGTTAAACAATGCTAACCAGGGACATGACTGTGGTGAAAATGAGGCAGTTGCACCATTCAGGCTAGTCACACCGACGGGTGTATACTCTTAGTGTCTTATTATTCTGTAACGCAAAGAAATAATGTAGAGAAGTGCACATAGAGCATATGAAAGGAGCTCCATTGAGTCAGAGTATTGAATGGGGTTCTCCGTATCTGTCTGTGGGCGGCAAGACGTACATGGTTTCCATGACAACTGACCCACAAAATATTCTATGTCGTCAGTAAGGGATATTTCAATATTTAATGGTGTCACTGCAGCTGAATAAAGAACAACACCAGGTAGAGAGAGCGAGAGAGAGACACAGAGATAGAGAGAAAGAGAAAAAGAGAGAGATGGTTCCGTACGGGAGGAAAGGAGAGAAATTGTGTTTTGCCCGGCAACAGGGTGAAGGCGCGGTAGATGGCTTATTTATGTGTTAAATACCAAGACTGCCAAAATAAAGGAAATACTTGAGTAAATGAGAGATACAAAGTATATTGAATATTACTGAGTTAATTGAGCAATTAACATCCCATCATACATAGGGTCATGTATAAAAATGCCCAGTTGCCCATTATTTTGGCTACCATCCCTAGAAGAGATCTCAGTGACTTTGAAAGAGGTGTCTCAAAGGATCATAGGGGGTTTTAAAGGGTGTGTGTGTCTCAGTCACCAAATCTCAACCCAAATAAACACTTATGGATGATTCTGGAGCGGGACCCTGACACAGCGTTTTCCACCACCATCAACAAAACACAAAATTATGGAATTTCTTGTGGAAGAATGGTGTCGCATCCCTGTAGAATCTATGCCAAGGCGCATTGAAGATGTTCTTGCTTGTGGTGGCCCAATGCCATATTAAAAAGGGTAGGAAGCAACAACAGTGTGGTCAAAGACTTAGTAACTTAGTTGTAGTCACGATATGGTTACCTATAACTACAAATATAGTTATGTTTTAGCATTTTTACATATTTATTCACTTACTTCCGGATATCTTCGGAACTACCCACAATGCACTATTTCTCAACGTCATATGGAGA